AAAAGTACCAGATGAACGCCAACCTTGTGGAGGAGAGGCTCACACTACCCACCAGCCTCCTACTTATTCAGGCGAAGGAGACTTGTGGCAAAGTGCAGTGTTCTCATTCAGTTCTGACTTGAACTTGCACTATTGTTTTCCATATTGTCCACCTATTTATTTTACTGGTTTTCTTATTTATTTCCGTGTTTATTTATAATTTTGAGAGAGAGGTAGAGAGCAAGCAGGGGAGGGGCAGAGAGAGAGAGAGAGAGAGAAAATCCCAAACAGGCTCTGCACTGTCAGCACAGAGCCTAACGCGGGGCTTGAACCCACGAACCGTGAGATCATGACCTGAGCTGAAACCAAGAGTCGGACGCTTCACTGACTGAGCCACTGATTTCCAAGCTGGCCGTATCCAGCGCTGGCCTCCTTGCCTTTCCCGTGATCCGGTCTGGTCCTCCTCGAGTACCCTGATCACGACTCTGGTTTCCCTTCTCTTGACAGTACGTGCGGATGATGGGGGTGCACCCGACCATCCTTTTCCTGGCCTGGTTTCTGGAGAACATGGCCATGCTGGCCATCAGCAGTGCTGCCCTGGCCATCATTCTGAAAGTGAGTGGCATCTTCGCGCACAGCAACGCCTGTATCATCTTCCTCTTCCTCCTGGATTTCGCGGTGTCGGTCGTCATGCTGAGTTACTTCCTGAGCACATTTTTCAGCCAAGCCAACACGGCTGCGCTCTGCACTAGCCTGGTGTACATGATCAGCTTCCTGCCCTACATCGTTCTGTTGGTTCTCCGTAACCAATTGAGTGTTGTCATTCAGACGTTTCTGGTAAGTGGGTTGGGTTTTTTTGTAGACATGCAAAATACAACTGCTGTATCTGCCCAAAAAAGCAGTCACCACATCGCATGTCATCTTATCACTTTCAGATCTCGGTGGGCTTTCTGATGCCTACGTCTGTCTCTCTTTTTGTTTTTCTTTTAAGTTTTATTTATTTTGAGAGAGAGCAAATGTGTAAGCGGGGTAGGGACAGAGAGAGGGGGGACAGAGAATCCCAAGGAGGCTCCAGGCCCTGAGCTGTCAGTGCAGAGCCCGATGCGGGGCTCGAACCCATGAACCGTGAGATCATGACCTGAAGCGAAGTCAAGAGCTGGATGCTCAACCAACTGAGCCCCCCAGGGGCCCCTGAAGCCTACTGGTCTTGATGCTGCCCGCAGATGCACACCTTATAATGGTCATTGGTTGACATTGCAGTGGTTTTGCAAGAGAGGAGCTGCTGAGAATTGGCACTTTTCATGTAATGGGGACTGTCCTCTGGAGACTCTCTGGAAATCGGTAGCATCCTAAAGGCAGCCATAGAGACTCCGTGTCTCTCTGTATCACAGATGGAAAGAAGTAGATTTCTTTTTTTTTTTAATTTTTTTAAATGTTTATTTATTTTTGAGAGAGAGAGAGACAGAGTGTGAGTGGGAGAGGAGCAGAGAGAGAGGGAGACACAGAATCCGAAGCAGGCTCCAGGCTCCAAGCTGTCAGCACAGAGCCCAACGTGGGGCCCGAACCCATGAACGGTGAGAGCATGACCCGAGCCGAAGTCGGACACTTAACCGACTGAGCCACCCAGGCGCCCCAAGAAGTAGATTTCTGAAGCTATTTTAGAAGCAAAAAAATAAACTCTTCTTGAAGCATCAGGAATCACCTCACATTAGGTGGGAAGATCTCTCCGTTAGCAATGCCAATTCATTCATGCGTGTACCATGTAACTCCCGGAGAAGCCTGAGAATTCTTTTAAGTCTGGGATATGAAATACAAAGAAGAGAGACACTCGTCCATTCTGTTTTGAGTTTCCTGGCAAGTGCAGAGCCGGGTGCATAGTGGAAACTCAATCCGCGTGGAAGGGATGGGCAGAAGGCTGTGAGGACGGTCAGTTCGGGCGAGCCAGCACTGTCCCTGCAAACATTAGAATTATGCCCCAGGGTTCACTTGTCCCCAGTAGGTCAGGCCAAGTTCCCAAAGTGCAGTCTGTTGGGAGGTGTGGCTAGAGCCACTAGGGGAGAATTCGGGAGATGCCGAAGAGGGATGGAATCCCAGGGCTTCGAGGGGGCATCTGAAGCCTTCTGAGGTCACTGGTCCCACGCAACGTCATGACGGTAGATGTATCCTCATTTGTTGGGATGGGGTCACTTTCTCTGCTCCTTTTGAACTTTAGGGTGAAATACTTCTGTGAAGACCAAATTGTTTTTCTCCAGCTTCATGTAAACCTTCCTGTTTCCCGACTGGCCATGTACATACATCATGGATGTGTGTACACCTTGAAAAAACATGGCGTCTTTAATCAGGATTTTTCTCCATGGATACCTGCTCACCAGTGTCCATTAGCTTATGTCACACCTGTGGTACTTTATAACCCATAATGTTGGTCTCAATTAAAACTGAGACCATGTGTCACCACCCCCCACCCTGACCCCATACTCCTCACATGTAGGAAAAGAGACATTGACCACCTGGCCTGAATTTCAAACACTGTTATATGGTTTTTACTTCAATCCATCTGTTTAAATGTTGGAGCATACCGAGTTTGACTTCCTTTTTTACATTTTCACATGTTTCCTAGCCCCACCCCCC